TGCAGAACCGGGGATTGAACACAGGCCCTTGCACTTGCCAGGCAAGCGCTTATTTTACTGAGCCATCTCCCCGGCCCCTATAGCTCTCTTTTGATTTTTTTTTTTTTTTTTTTTTGAGACCCAGTCCTGCTAAGTCACTCAGTTTCCCAGGTTAGGCTCTAAGTTGCAGGCCTCCTGCCTCAGCCTGCCAGAGAGCTGGGACTCCAGGTGCGCATCACCACGCTGGGCTTGTTTTGCATCATGATCACGATGGTAATTTCATGGGCATGTTCCTCTGTCAAAACTCATCAAAATGTGCACTTTGAAAGGTGCAGGCAGCTGTATTTAGTTATATCCCAACAGCTGTACTTAAAAGGATGTTAAAAGTGCAGTGGAATAAAATACAGACTTTAGTTACTAATAATATATCATACTGGCTCATTAACTGTAATGAATGTACTATACTAATGTAAGATTTTATAATTTTATAATAAGGAAAGCTGGTCAGTAGGGCTTATGGGAACTCTACTCTATGCACTTTTTTTTTTTAAACTGTTCTCAAACACAAAGTTTATTTTTAAAAAATGGGAAAATGGACAAGGGATACAGGTCAGTGGCATCTTTCTTGCCTGGCAAACTCGAGGTCCTGAGCTCCGTTCCCAGTGCCAGAGAGGGGGAGAGAGAGAGAAGGGGAGGAGAGAGGGAGGAAAAATGCAGTGGATAGATGATTTCATGCCCATGTTCATTCAGCAAGCAGGAAAAACAGGTCTTGGCCCTCCCACGCCACCCGACAGGATTCTGGTTTGTCTCGAAGCCTCCTGATGCCTCGTGCCGCTTCGCCTCCCCTGAGCCTCAGGGTCTCGGGCTGTGCAGGCTCCCTTGAGGTGTGGCATTCACTCCTGCGTGCCTGCCTCCCTCGCACCCAGCTATGGGAGCTCCAAGGGCCGGGCCTTTATCTGATTCACCTAAATCACTGTCATTCCTCCTCTTGGCGATGTGTGTGCCCAGAGCCAGGGACTGCAGCGTGTCAGCACTGTTGCCGCATCTCCCCTTTTCTCCTTCAGCCACCGGTGAGCACCCACTACACTGCCCACCAGGGACCTGGCTGCCAGGGATGCGGATCTGTTGGGTCTCCCTGTGGCCTGGGGAGCTCCTGTGCTGATGGAGGAGACAAAGACTAAATAAATAAACTAAACATGTCTCTGCACAGTCACAAGATCTAAGTGTTCTAAAAAAAAAAAAAAAGCATAGGTCAGGGAAGAGGGATAGGAAGTGCTGAGAGACTAATCTGTCTGTCTGTCTGTCTGTCTGTCTGTCTCTCTGTCTCTCTGTCTACCTATCTACCTGTCTCCCCCTGGTACATCAGATTGAACCAGAACCTTCACTCCGAGCCACACCCTAGCCCTTCCTTTTTTTTTTTTTTTTTTTTTTTTTAGAGAGACAGGGTCTCATTAAGTCAGTAAATTAGTCACACTGGGCTGGACTTGCGATCTTCCTGCCTCATCTTCCCAGCATGCTAGGAATACAGGCTAGGATTTTACAGTGTTGTGCAGGATTTTACAGTATCACCCAGGGCCTCCCACCTGTGAGACAAGTGCTTTGTCACTGAGCTCCATCCTGAGCCTGGGACTGTTTCAAATCAGCTTGTCATGAAGGCCACACAGAAGGCAACACTGAGCAAAGACCTGAGGGAGGGAGCCATCAGACACCTGGGAACAAAGTTCTGGACCAGGATCACAGCAGGTGCCTGTTACAGAGGCCATGTGGCTGAGCAGGAGTGTGGGAATGGTGGTGGGGGGAGAGGCTGTGGGCAGGCTGTGTGGGGAGCAGACTCTTACATGAAGAGGGAACAGGGGTCAGGGGGATTGCGACAGGACAAGGACAGGGAGCTTTGGGGGGCAGGTGAGTGGTTTTGGTAGACTGAAGCCTGGTTCACTGAATAGACCAGCTGATTGGCTGCGGACACAAGAGAAAGAGTCCAAGAGATACCAAGGATTCCGAAGGCATTTAATCTTGAGACAATGCAAAAAGTATTACCATTCATACAAGGATGGGACTCCAGCTCACACAGGGAGGACAGAGCTGGGTGGTCTTTAAGCTGTGGACCCCGACCAGCCTGGGGCCAGCAAGACAGACCTGTGATGCACCCGAGGTCCAAGGGACTCTCCAGCTTGTGACCTTGAGGCCCTGGCTGCCCCTCCCTGGCATTCTTTCACTGTAGGTCACCAGGTTGGGTAGCCTGGTTTCCCTGTCTCCTGCAAAATCCTCAGGACATGACCAACATGGCACCAGGCCATGCAGGGTGCAGCCTGTGCTAGACCTCCTGTGCACTGTTAGCCTGGCTTGAGGAGGAGCCTGGAAGGTTTTGTGGGGGTGACAGGCTCAGCTGTAAACAAAAGTCCCTGGTCATGGACCTCCCAGCCCAGAAGGAAGATGGACAAGGAATAAATGGAATCAAAGAGGGTACCATGAGGAGATCTGTGTTAGTTGAGGTCACGGGGTAGGTTCAAGGGCTCAAATGGGTCTGCTGGGGCGAGGCCTGCAGCTCCATGGGGGCTTGGTGTGTTCCAGAATCAACCCAGAGGCTTGTGAGCCTCAAGGGGTAAGGGTGCTGAGATTAAGATGGGAAGAGCCCAAAATTGTTCTGCAGAAAGGAGGGTGAATGAGGGGGTCAGCCTGCAGGGCTGGGAACCCCAAGACTGCCAGAATCCGATCAAATTTCTCCTCAGCTCAGGGCCATCCTGTGGCTCCACCCAAGCCCTCACTGTGGCCCACAAGGTTCTGCCTGCATGGCCACCTCCCACGCCACCCCTCCCACACCCTTTGTTCCTTTGCCTCAGGACCCACACCCCAGCCTGGGCCCTGTCTCTGTCCCAGGGCTTTTGCACCAGTCTCCTCCCTCATCTCCTTCAGATCAAATGTGACCTCCCAGGGATGGCTCCCTGAAAACTAACCCTGTTCCTCTCTCTGTCTCTCTTGCCTGCCTTTTCTGAGCCCTCATCAGCCTGTAACTTCCTTATGTATGGGGTTTCCTGTCCAATCCCAGGTTGCAAAGCCCACGCCATGGGGGCAGTGAGGTGTCTTGCTCAGGGCTGGCTTCCTAGAGCTGAGAACATAGCCTGGCACATAGCCGATGCTCCATAAATCATGGCTGAATAAATAAAAAGAGGAAGGGAAAGAGAAAGGAAGGAAGAAAAACGGGAAGAACCTGACAGGTTTATGAGCTCCTGAGGCCCATCAGTCCCCAGCCAGAATTTAGAAATGTTATCATGTCTCCTCCTCGTCTCCCCTCTTTTCACAGAAGACAGCACTGGCTGAGAAACTGAGGCACAAAGGGACATTGGGCAGCACTTCCCGGGCCATGGAGTCCGAGGGTAGGTTTGAGTGACAGAGGACCCGGATGGGAAGAAAAGGTTATCGACGCCACCTGCTGGGAATCGAGGGCATGACGGCTGTGTCCACCTGCAGCCTTGCGGCTGGCGATGCCCGGCACAGGGTGGACACCGGGTCGGGGAGGCGGCTCGGGGCGTGGCCAGCGGAGGCGTGAGTGCACAGGGCCAGGGCTGCAAGCCTCTTTATTCTGAGGCCCCTGGGTACCCCGCCCGGTCAGCGCTAAGAGGAGGGTGCACCGAGCCTCATGCCTGCCCGCCCTCCCTCCCTCCACGCAGCCAGCTAGGACTTCCATGTGTCTGGAGGAGGGAGAGCTGCCTTCCTTCAAGCTGTGTGTACCTCACTCGTGGCCTCTGGAGGGCAGGGGAGTGGGGCCCACCCTGACTCCCCACCCAGGCTGGGGCCAATGGTCCAGTCCCACCAGCCAAGGCAGCAAGGCCTAGAGTCCTGATGAGAACAGCCCACGTGCCTAGAGGTACATCGTCCGGCCGTGCAGAGGTCTCACCAACCAGAAATCATCCACAATCTTCCCATCCTGTGAGGGACAAAAACAGGGAGGCAGTAAGGGCTGAAAACCCAGATAATGGACCTAAGTGACCTGGGTTCAACTCCCATCTCTGCCTCGGATTATGCTGTGTGACCTTGGACGAGTTGCTATCCCTCTCTGAGTCAGTTTTCTTTATCTGAAAAGCAGAGATAATGTCATAGATGTTGTGGGAATTCAATGAGATAAGATTGAATCCCAGTGTTTAAAGAGACAAGCACATGATGAGACTGCAAAGCATGGGCTATTATCATTAAAAGCACACATCCGGCCGGGTTCCAGCCCAGAAACTGCTTTGTGTATATGACTCTCCTGTCCCAAGCTCCGTGTTGTGCGGGAGGGTGGGGACAGGAGATGGTACAAACCATCGTGGGAACACCCACAGAAGACTGGGCGTGGCGTGGGTCTCAGTGAACAGCAGCACTCTCTTACGGAACAGGGGTCTTTGGGCTCAGATCTCAGCTCTGCCACCCTCCCGCTGTGTGACCCTAGGACAGTTCCTTCCCTTCTCTGGGCTGCAGTTCCCGTCTGTGAAGTCCACCGCCCATGGGATTACTGTGACTGCAGAGCTACTACAAAGCCCCTGTCCTAGAGCCTGCTGCACAGCGGGATGGCACCCAAGCAATCATCGTTTTCTCATTGTTTTATTTTTATTATTATTTTTTTCATTTCCGTATTCGGTGCAGAGTCTCACTACACAGCTCGGACTCCTAGTGATCCTCCTGTTTCCAGCCTCCCCAGCGCTCGGATTACAGGCACGCGCCACCTCACCCGGACTCTGTCTCTGCCTCAGCACGCCCCAGGGGTGGGGCCATCGCTACAAGCAGGACCACGTTGGTCCCTGCGCTTGCCAAAGCAGGCGCTTAGTCCGCTGAGCCATCTCGCCGGCCAGCTATTTATTTATTTTTTAAATGTATTAGGTACAGGGTCTCACTATGCAGTACTGCCACTCCAGTTTCAGCCTCCTCAGTGCTGTGATTACAGGCATGTGCCACCAGGCCGAGTTTCAGCGGCTGGTTCAGGGGGGCGGGAGAGGGGCCTCGG